AAGCCCAATTCCTGACCTGGTAGGCACCAGGGCCAGGCCACCAGGGCCAGGCTGGGGCTTTCCCCACTTACTCATTTCCCAGATGTTTTCTGAGGGCCTACTGTGTGCCAGGGCCAGTGCAGGTAATGCCAGACCAGAAGCAAAAAGTCTGACAGCCCCTGGTTCCTTCGCAGAGCTGAGCTGAGCTGAGCTGAGCTGAGCAGCTTCCTGGGTCTGGGTTCTCCTCCTCCAGCTATACACCCGCAGATCATTGGCTTATTTTCAAATAAATCATGTTTTCCAAACTTTTGGGGGTGGAACAAGGAAACCTGAGTATGGCCTGGACAAGGACATGAAGAGATTCACTCTGTTGGGATGACACTGCAGCTGTGTAGGAGATGATTTTGCTTAGACTCGCAAGCGAAGGAGTTTACTAGTGAAGTGAAGCCAGATCTTATAATTTATTTCAAAATAAATTCGGAAACGTAGACATTTCCATGACCTATTTCAAAAGCAGTTATCTATTATAAGGCCAGTAAACTCTTGTTTTTCTTGGTGGTGCTTAAACTTTCAAAGGTGTTGGATTAGGGAATGCATCACACTTTAAACTTTTCGGTATAATTGGAAAACCTCGTTTTTTTTAAATGTGGATTTTTGTGCAGACCTATTGTTCTAGGCACAGGGCAGTTCGTCAGTTGACGCTGTGCCCAGGCTGTGGGCACGGGGAGGGGGGGTATGACGTGTGTAGGGTGTAAGAGAATGAACAGAATCCCCAGGGGCCGCCCATGTGGGGGCACATTCAGGCAAAATGAGCGAATATTCACAAGAGCCCCTGCTTACTGGGAAACGGGGGACCACAGACAATGGCGCCTGGGGGGCCCCAGGGAGGACTCTGGGGCGGCTCAGTGCCTCTGGAGGGGACTCGGTGCCTCTGGGGGGGACTTAGTACCTGGTGGGGGCTCCGTGCCCGGGGGAGGAGTGGCTGGTTATTCTTTTGACTGCAGAAGTTGCCCGCCCCAGCGGGCCCCGTGGTACTGCAGCAGCAGGGTGCGAGAAGTCGGCGGCTTCTGGGGGGGGGGGGGTCCCTTGGTGTGCTTAAGCCCCTGAGCCTTGAGGGCCTCGCCCCTTCCCCTCGGTCCCCTCCTCCCTCCCCTCTCCCCCTTCCCCCGCCTCCAGGGCTCCCCGACCCTGCAGCCACCATCTCTGCCCTCCAGCCCCTGGGTGGTGCCGGCGCGCGGTGAGACTCTCCGCTACAGAGTCCGGCGGGGCCCCAGCCCGTGCGTCCTGCTCCTGGCGGCTCCTTCGCAGTCTCGGTTCCGGACCTGCGGGACAGAGAAGGGAACCCCGAGCCAGTGCCCCTTGTCCCGGGAGCTGCGGCTTCGTGGGGAGCAGATGTGGGGTTGGGGGGCGGGGGACCAGCCCTCAGGACAGGAGGGCCCGGGCCGGGGCAGGGCTGCGAGGGGAGCAGGGCCCAGGACGGGGCAGGGAAGCAGCGGCCACAAAGGGGGAGGGTCAGATCGCGCAGGGGTTCGGGCGCTGCGGGCGTGTGCTGGGGGACCCCGCGTCCTCGGGCTGCACCCGTCTCCTCCCGGGCGTGTGGGCGGGCAGGGGTGGGTGGGTGGAGGGTGGCGGACGGGCAGGGAGGGGAAGGGGCCGGCGCGGGGATCGCCCCGCCTCAGCATCGCGAGGGAACAGATGCGCACTCCGCGCAGCCGCGCCCTCCCCGTCGGGCCCCGCTCCGGGGTCTTTGGGCGGCCTCCGCCGGGCGCGGCGAGTTCGGGCCGCTTCCTCTCGGCCCGGAGACTCCCGTCCCGCAGCGGCGCGGGGGGGCGGCGCGTGCCCGCGGGGGCGGGGCCTGGGGCCTGGGGCGGGGCCGGCGCGCGGACCAGAGAGGCGGAGGCACCGCCCCCAGGTCGCACAGCGGCCCTGGGCGCCCTCAGCCCGACAGGCGCGGCCCGCGCGCGCCCCAGCTGCGCCGTCCAGCCCTCGCCGGCCCCCACCGCTGGGACGAACGATTCTCCCGCAAACGTCTGGGGCTCCCCAGTTGGAAAACGGGTGACGATCACAGACCCGCGCCGCGCCCCCGACTCCCCGTGGCCCTGCACGCTGGTCTCGCCACCAGCGGGACCCCAAGGGAGGCAGAATGGGGGCGCGCCGGGGCCCCCGTAGGAAGGAGGCGCCCAGGGGTGCCTGGGGACCGGCTCAGTGCGCAGCGACCTCTCGCCCCGCCGCCCCCGCCTTCCCGTGCCCGCCGCGGGGTCTGTCCTGGGGACGGGGCGGCGCCCTCAGGAGCTGGACCCGCGGGGAGCGCGGCGTCTGTGCCTCGAGAAACGTCTCCCCGGGAGCCCCATGGTGGTCCGCGGCCCTCCACTGACGGGATGAGGCCACCGGCGGGCCGGGGTCGCCGCTCGGAGACGGACTGGCAGACGCGAGCGCAGCCGCCGCCGCCCACCCAGACCGAGCCCACTAGCGGGGCCGGAGCCCGAGCAGGCACGCGGGACCGCCCGGGCTGGGGGGGGGGCGGGCAGGAGAGGGGCTGGCAGGGCAGAGGAGGGCCGCGGGCGGGACCCCCCAGGCTCAGGAGGGCGGACAGGACAGCAGCGGGCGAGGACAGGGCGGCCACCTGGCTGCGGGGGGTGGGGGGGAGGGGAAGCTCCGCCAAACTCTCCTTCGGACTTCAACGGCCGAGCCGCTGACCCACAGGCCCCCCGGGCCGCTCTCCTGCCCACGGGGTGGGTCCCCAGGGCGCCCGCAGCCGGGGCAGGCCTCGTTACTGCGGCTCCACGGCCCTCCCGGCGCGGCTCTCCCGCGGGCTCCGGGGCGCAGAGGCTGAAGCGGAGGCGGAGACGCGGGCAGGGCCGGCCCGGAGGGACACCGGGGCCACAGGTGCAGGTGACCCCTTGGGCTCACTTCCTGCTCTCGGGGGGCGGGCCTTGTGTGAGCGCCTGAACCCCGCCTCTGTGGGGCCCCCACACGGAAGGAACCCGCGCCGGGGGTGCGTGCGGCTGGGAGCAGGAGACGCGAGAGAGGCTGCAGGGAGGGGGGGGGGACCCCAGCCACCACGTTCCCCCCCAGTCACCCCCCGCGTCGCCCGCCAGCCACCCCCCGCGTCCCCACCTCTCCCCATCCCCCCTCACCGGCGGCCTGTTTCCGTCCTGGATGTCCCTCCACCGTAGGAAGCAAGACTCGTCCGCGTCCTGGATGCAGCCAGGCCGCGTCCTTGCACTGCCGCGCAACGGCCACTCGACGCAGTTGTGCACATCGTGTTCTCCTCACGCGAGGGGGAGGAGAGGACGTTTCCTTAACACTTCCTTCTGTGGCGGCGTGGCCGCATCGCGAGAATTCTCCACTTTCCACGCTCCGCGCTGACGTACGCCCCTTCCACGCCATTCAACCCCATTCCGTGTTCCCGCATCCGGCGTTGACATTCGACTTTGTATATATTGGCGGTTTCGATTGAGACCGTTTCAGATCCCTCTGCTGCAAATAAAGTGTTAGTGAACATTTGTACACATAAAGTGTTTTTTCTGAATTTGGAAACATTTCCTCAGGCCATTTCCAAAAATAAGACCGTGTCCATTGAAAATGTAAGTGTTTTGAATTCAAAGTCCCCTGCAGAGGCTGGTGACCTGATTTCTCAGGAACCGGGAGGACAGACCTCGTCTCCGGCCGTCACTTCTCCCGTCCCGCGTTCCCGGTGGAGCCCGCCGCCCTCCCCCCGCGGGCGGCGCGGGCCTCAAGTGTCTCGGCTCCCGCCACCGTCCGGCGCGGCCAGCGGTGCTCTCAGTCCTCCGGCCGGCCCGTGAGCAGCCCTTTGCCGTCTGGCCCTTTAAGCGCGCCCTCGGCAGCACGTCATCACTCTGCGCCTCCCGGCATGCACCAGGCGGAACGTGAGTGGCCGCGCCAAGTCGGCTCCCGCGGGCAAATTAATAGAGCGAGTGGAGCGATGGTCGCCGCCTTGTGGACTGGGGTGGTATCGTGGGAAAATCGTGGGAAAAATCACTACCTGAAAGGCCAGCTGGACTGGAAGTGGCCGCGCCAAGAGCGGCTCCCAGGGGCAACCTAAACGAGCGTGATGAGGCAGTGTCGCCGCCTTGTGGACCGGGGTGGTATCGTGGGAAAATCGCGGCCCAACTCGCCATCGGGACCGGAAGTGTTCGCGCTAAGGGCGGCTCCTGGCGGGCGAAATAAAGAGGCGAGAGGCGCGAGTGTCGCCGCCTTGTGGGCCGGGGTGGTATCGTGGGAAAATCGAGAATCCCAGCGGTGTAGTGAAGGCGCGGGCGGGGCGGGTGTCGCCGCCTTGTGGCCCCGACGGGTAATGAGGGGGAAACGCACAGTGACGACGGCAGGGGGATGGGTAAGGTCAACGGCCAGGTGGGGTGAGAAAGGTGGCGAGCAAGGCGGGAAACGGGAGGAGGAACGAGGCAAAGGGGGCCGAGCGCGGAATAATGAGCGGGCGGGGCGGCGAATAAGGTGCAGAGACGTGTTTCAGGGCAATGGAAAGGGCGGTGCGGACCATGTGAACAATAACGGGGGCGGGCGCCGCCTGGTGGCCCTCAGTGGCGAGCCGGCACATCCCTGACCAGCGGCCCACGGGGAGGAGAGGCCCAGGGGGCCGAGCCCGGGGACCACGACGCGGGGTCTGTGGGGGCAGAGTCCAGTGGCGGCGCCAGGAACAGCCATGGCGGCCCCCTGGGCAGGGGCGGGCCCGCGCAGAGGCAGGAGCAGCAGAGCCTGGTGGGAATTTGTGTCCAGAGCCTTGAAGAAAACGGATAGACTCACGTGTGAGTGAGACTAGGCCATCTGTCCTCACCATTCCTGAGAAGTAAGTCCACAACCCCTCTGCAGGGAACTTTGACTTTAAAATACTTGAATTTTTAATGGAAATAGTAATTTTATTTTTGGAAATGACCTAAGGAAATGTTTTCAAATTCAGATAAAAATCTTTATGTGTAAAAATGTTCACCGACACTTTATTTACAGTAAAATGATTTGAAACTATCTAAATAAAAACCCCCAAAATATACAAAATTAAATATAAACACTGGATACATACAGTGACACTTAGTAGCTTTTAATGCTGTGGTGAGCACTTACATTGCAGTGTTAAATGATGAAGTAGAATATAAAATTTTAGCGATGGATGTAAGCATCCTCTCCTTAACCCTTATGTGAGAGTAGAAGACAGTGTAAACAACAACTGTACACCGAGTGGAATATTATACAGCAGTGCAAATAAAACCCTCAAGCTGCATCCAAAATGTGGACTAGTCTGGCCTTCATACTCTTGAGTGACATTCAAGACAGAAACAGAACATGAGTTAATTTATTTAAATATTAAATACCAGACAAAATTAAAATCACGTTGTAATGATACATGCAGTGATACATGCCGGGACCTGTAGTGAAGAGCAAAGAAAAAAATTAGTGACAGCCATATAGGGGCTTCCTTATGGAGGAAGATCATGATATGATGTCACTTACATTCCTTGACTTATTTAGTGGAAGCTCATTTTATAATTCTCAAGCTACTACCCACCTTCTACACAGGCATTCTATTTCAAATTGCAAATATTGGGGGGAAAACTAGGAAGGAAACGTGCTAAGTCATCAGAGTACTTTTTGATACTGTTCATCCTATTTTATTCTACTCTTCACATTTTCTGTAATATACACAACTCCCTATCATTATCAGGACCAGTAACAGAAGCTGATGGAAACTCCATTGGTAAAGCTACCTCCTTGCTCCTTGGCAGGGGAAAAGTAGTTTTTAAAAAGTCTTAAGAATTCCATGTGGTTACAGAAAAACATTTTAAGACGACACATGGCCTCCCGCTAGCCACGCGGGTGAGGGCAGAGCAGCAGCGTTGGGAGTCAATGTCAAGGTCACCTCATTTTTTTTTTTCAGTGAGGAGGTTTGGATTTCTAGCCTGAACCTGTGCTCCGGCTAGCTTTTAAACCCAAATAAACAACTTTTGCCCCTTTCCTTCATTTTTAAATTTAGAAATTTATTCGGTTTAATCCACAGCTGTATATAGCTTCAATTAAAAATAAAGTGAAAACCAGGCATTACTTCAAAGTCTAGGCCCTTCCAGCTTCCAAATACAAGAGAGTTGTCTACACCTATAGGAGGAGCAGGACAAAATAATGAATGGGGCCATGCTATTTCATAAAACAAAATTTTATATAACTGAAAGCTCCTCCCTGTGACTAGTTCATTGCCTTTACAAAAAGGGGGAAAAAAGAATAGAACAGAGGGGCCTCCCTGCGGGTGCAAGGGGTTAAGACGCTGCACTATAAAGCTATCACCAGCCACTGCAGCACGAGTTCGATCCCTGTCCAGGAAGCTGACCCACATGGCACAGCAGACCTCTCCTGTCATGCCCACTGTTCCCCTCAGCAGTGTATTTCAGTCGATCTGCCTGTTCTGTTCCCCACTCTGTCTCTGGTGAATCCTCTCACAACCTCCCCCCTTCTCTGGCTTATACCCCAGTTCTTGTACGCATAAATAACTTTTTTTTAAAAAGATTTATTTATTTTATGCACACAGGAACTGTGGCATAGGCCAGAGATGTGGGGGATGAGAGGATTCATCAGAGACAGAGTGGGGAACAGAACAGGCAGATCTACTGAAATACACTGCTGAGGGGAACAGCGGGCATGACAGGAGAGGTCTGCGGCCATGCGGGACCCTCTCCGGTCAGCCGGGATTGAACCAGCTCTGCAGAGGCTGCGGACAGCTTCACAGAGCAGCGCTGAACCGCCTGCGCCACCAGGGGAGGCCCTGTTTTAAATACAATTCACTTTTTAAAGATTTATTTTATTTTTATACAAGAACCGGGGTACAGACCAGATGCGCAGGAGCGTGAGAGGATTCACCAGAGACAGAGCGGGGAGCAGAACAGGCAGACTGACTGAAATACACTGCTGAGGGCGGCAGTGGGCAAGACAGGAGAGGGCTGCTCGCCATGTGGGATTCTCACCGGCCGAACGGATCGAACTGGGGTGCAGAGGCTGTGGACAGCTTCACAGTGCGACCCTTGACCGCCTGCGCCACCAGGGAGGCCCTAAATACAATTCTTCACACAACTCACTTTATTTGCATTTAGAGTTAGGACATTCTACCTTTTGATTTTTAGACCGTAAGAGGTTATGGAAGAATTTTGTCTTTATTTATCCCGCAGGCCCAGAGGTGATCTTTTTTCCAAAGTCCGAGCCCTGAGCCATTGGGCGACAGGGCACCCCATCGCCTCGGCAGGGGCACATTTGCACCTTAAAGCAAGCAGGGGGTAGAGAAGCAGGAGACTTCCAAGAGCTCACCTGGTCATCTGGGGCGCACAAGTCAGGCTCCTGGCCAGAGAAAGTCCATCAGACACTCCCTGAAGCTTGTAGTCCACCCCCAGGCCTTGTGCCAACATAATTCCAGCTAATGAGCAGGTCACAGTGGGCTGGGGCAGGCGGGCTAGGGCAGGAGGACAGGCGGGTCTGTTGCAGGCTCCGGGACTCCCAGCCTTTCACCGACAGTGTCCACCGCAGCCAGACCCTAAAATATCTGCAAGTCATTAAAACAGCAAACAAGGTTGCTTAAATTTCTGGGAAAGATTTTTTATTTTAAATCATGGTTAAAAATCCCCTTACCTGAAGCTGATATAAAAGCAAGGTTTGGGGCCTCCAGGATGGCGCAGGGGTTAAGCACAGCACTACGAAGCCATCCGCACGAGTTCCATCTGATGGAGGACAAGAATGGAAAGACGGGGAAGGAGGCCTCACAAGCCTAAAACCTGACTCACACAAGGAGGTGGGGGTCAAGGAGAATCACATGACCATTAACCCAGCTGTGGAGGTCATGACCCTTAAGCACCAGTGCCTTGTCACTAGGCAGGAGACCCAAGCAGGCTGAGATGCTCTAGGGAGTGGCGCACAGGCCTGCGGGGAAAGATATGGAGATTGGGCCCACCCTGGAATCTCTGGTCCTTCTGTAGTGTTGCCTGTTACCCAACATCAGCCACAAGCAGCCACTCCAGGGAGGAGCGACCCCTCCCAAAGAGGAAAGGACTGAATCGGGGCAGTCTCTGCACAGGCTCGGGGCAGTGCTCCCACTGCCCACCTGTGACTATGCAGGAGCCTCTTTTCACCAACTCTCTCTCCCTCTGCAGGGCAACAGCCTCCTGCCTGCCGTGACCTGTCAAGGCCGCCCGCCTGCAACCATGTGGGCCTCTCTCAGCAAAACCTGTCCCTTTCCTTTTCCCTAATAAACCTGCTCTTCAAATAGAACTAATGTCGCTGTCTCATGGAGAAACATGCCTGGGGAAGTCACCGTGTGCCGCTGAAACGGGAGCTCTGGGGACACCTTCCCCAGAGTGAGCCCCAGGACCCGCACGCACTCAACAACCTACAACATTTTGGCAACCACGAAGGGACTCTACACGTCATCTGGTGCCAACATCCCATCCCCAGCCAGAAAGGTGACCCCCAGGGCGCCGCAGACCTCTCCTGTCTCCCCGCTGCTCACCTCAGCAGTGGATTTCAGTCAGTCTACCTGTTCTGTCCCCCACTCTTTCTCTGGTGAATCCCCTTACCCCCACCCCCGCACCTCTGCCCTGCAGCCCAGCTCTTGTGTTCATAAGTAAATAAATCTGTAAAAAAATAAAATAAAATAAAATAAAGCATGACTAAAACATCATTTACCTGGAGATCCTGAAATGGATCCTATTGCAAACATTAAAAAGCAACTGTTATGGGGCCTGCCTGGTGGCGCAGGGGGTTAAGCACCACACTGTGAAGCAACCCACAGGCTGCTGCAGAGTTCGATGCCCAGCTGGCCAGGGAGCATCCCTCATGGCGCAGAAGACCTCTCCTGACTCGCCCGCTGCTCCCCTCAGCAGTGTCCTTCAGTCAATCTGCCTGTTCTGCTCCCCACTCTGTCTCTGGTGAATCCTCTCACCACTCCCCCGCCCCCGCCCCCGCCCCGCATCTCTGGCCTGTGCCCCAGCTCTCGTATGCATACACAAGAAATCTTTAAAAAAAAGAGCAGCTATCACCCAAATACATTATGAGAAAAATGAAGGCTCTTGGCCCCACATATCATGTTTCTCTTTGCAAATCATGGTGCAACAAGGTGTGGCCCAGACTCTGACATCCCGGAGTCTCTTCCGTGGTGTGGTGGTTAGGGGTTGGGGTCCGGCCAAGCTGCAGAGACTGGGGGTGGTGCACGCCCCTGTCATCAACAGTGATGGCTGAGGCCGAGGGGGCGGGGCCGCGCCTGCGCAGAGCCCGGAAGCGGAGCCCCGGCGCCTCAGGCGGAAGCGCGTGGCCCCAGAGACTACATTTCCCACAAGCCCGTGCGCGGCCAGGGTGCCGTCCGGAGGCGCGTCCTGAGGGTGGCGTTGAGGGGCCTTGGGGAAGTGGGCGAGGCCCTGAAGACTCGGGGCGCAGGAACTGCTGCAGGGCCGCGATGGGAAGGCAGGAACGCGTGGTGTCGCCATGGACTTGGGCTCCTCACACTCCCCCTCCTCTGGGGCTCGGGCGCTGCCTCCTGGCGAGGGCGAGAAGGGGCAACTCCTCGGCGGCCGCGGCGGGGCAGCTCCACGGAGGGCGCCCCGGGGTCCGCGCTCGGCCGTCCCGGTCGCCGGTGAAGGGCGGGCTGGGTCGCTCCCGGGGGGGCTGCGCCTCCGCCCCCAGTCCACCCGCCCCCGCCGCGCTCGCCCCGAGTCCGCTGGAGGCCGCCAGGCCCGAGTCCCCGTCCCCTCGGAATGTTTCTTGAAAGGCCTGAGCGGGCGCGGCCGGCAGCGTCTCCTGAGGATCGCGACATGGAATTGCGGGCGCCGCTGTCCCGGCAGGCGCCTCCGACAAACAGCCCCGTTTCAGGAGTAATCGCCGCTGGGCCGAAAAATAAGCAAGTGCCGCCCAGGCCAGTAACACCACGAAATGCGTCCCTGGGCACACACACAGCCTGCCTCCCCATGCGCACGGTGTAAACACCCGCACTTCTTTTCCAACCGTTCTGTCATTCCTGACCGACGTCTCAATGTCTTCACATGTCGGATTCAATATGTATCAGCAACATGACAATGTGCGTGTGTGCGCGTGTAGGCCACGAGAAGGTCCCTAACAAGCTCAATCCCTGGCCAAGGAGGTGACCCAGCACACCTCTCCTGTCTTGCCCACTGCTCCCTTCAGCAGTGTATTTCAGTCGGTCTGCCCGTTCTGTTCCCCACTCTGTCTCTGGTGAATCCTCTCAGCACCCCCACGCCTCTGGCCTGTACCCCAGTTCTTGTGTGCATAAATAAATAACGCTTAAAAAAAAAAGATAGGACTAATGAGGAGCATTTCAACTGCACCATCATGAACATGGGTGCAGAGTCCTGAATAAACGATGCACACTGAATAGAAAAGGACCTTTAACAACTTTACCGCATGAACAACTGGGAGAACGTGCTGGAATTAAAAGGGAGACCCAATACATGAAAAACTCTCAATGCAAGACTCCAGAGTAGCAGAATCGAGGGTGAAAACCGCATGATCATAGCCACCCACGTAGACAAAGAATGAGACAACAGTTAACACTCTTTCATGACACAGTCACTCGGCCCAATAGAACTGGACACACTAGCCAGGACTGCAATCCCTAATATTAAGCTGTCGACATTATGCAGAGTTATCTAAAGGATCGGAATAATCCCCATCAAAATTCCAGTGACATATTTGAAGGAAGAGAGACCCCACCCCCAAAATTCATGTGGAAAGGAATAAAAAGTGATTGTGTGGGGACGCCTAGGGACGTAGACTCACAGGAGCAAGGGCCGAAGGATTACAAGTTCCACTTGCAAAATCCACGGTGGCCACGTCACCCCTTTTGGATATAAAGGGGAAACTGAGCAGTACCTTCTTCCAGATTTAATGTGATGCGTTATGCACACCTCCCGGGAAATGAACCCCAAGCCCTCGTCAGGAGATCAGGGTAAAACCATGGCCAGATGAAATATTCAACATTCTTTAATAATAAAAGCGATGATCAGCATGCTTTACATGTTATCCAGAAGAAGAAAATATACTATATATATATAAAAAATATACTTTCCATTAAACTATTAACTGTTCTTCCCAACATTTAATTAATCTTATTTATTAAATAAATTTTATTCCCAAAGATTTCATTTTGTTTTATGCTTGTCAGGCAGAATTTTATGTTCATTTTTATTATATTCCTATGCATAATGTGAAAATTCCTGCCAGAACGCAGAGGTAATTCATATGAGGGAAAGAGATTTTTTGGTGGGGGGGGGCAAGGAGTCAGACATTCTTAATTATTTAAAAAAAAAACACAAGAAACTCTTAGTGTCACCCTGTAAACCCTGTGAACGTTAACAACAAGGATTATGTCGCTATCCATTACTCCAAGGACAGAGACTGAAATTCAGCCTGGCCCACACACCCTAGATCATCTGTTGCCATCCTCCTTCCATTAAGTAAATAGAAAAATATACCCAGCTCATGGGTTGGAGGAATCAATGCTGTCAAAATGGCCATCCAACCTAAAGCAATTTAGACATTCGATGCAATCCCAATAAATATCCCAATGGCGTTCTTCAAAGAAACAGAATAAAGATTACTGAAGTTTATAAGAAAACACAAAAGACCTCAAAGAGCCAAAGCTTTCTAGATATTAAAGGGGGGAAATGAAAGTATCTCACTCCTGATTTCCAATTATACTGTAAAGCCAGAGTAGTTAAAGCAGCATGGTAATGGAACAAAGACAGACACACAGATTAATGGAACAGAATTGAGAGCCCAGAAATAAAACCACATGTTTTGGGACAATTCATATATAAGACAGGAGCAAAGTCCATACACTGGAACAAGGAAAGCCTCTTCAATAAAGGATCCTGGAAAATTGACTGCCACGTGTAAAATAATGAAACTAGACCATGATCTCACATCACACATGAAAATCAACTAAAATGGATAAAAGACTCAGATATAAGACCTGAAAACATCAAATATATAGAGAAAAACCTATGCAAAATGCTCCCTAACATAAATCTCAGAAACATGTAAAGGAGAAAGTAAACAGTGGATACTATATCAAACTAAAAATTTCCATATGGCAAAAAAGACAGTAACCCAAACAAAGAGACACGGTCTGAATGGGAGAAAATACTTGCACACCCTATACCTGATAAGGAATTAATATCAAAGACCTACAAAGGACTTATGCAACTCAACAAAATGAAAACAACCGAATCAAAAATGGGAAAATTAGCTAAAGAGTCACTTCTCCAAAGAAGACAAACAGATGGCCAATAGGCACATAAAAAAATGCTATCATTTATCATCAGGGAAATGCAAACCAAACCATAATGAGACATGACCTCACCTCACAACTGTGAGAATGGCCCATAGTTAAAACACACACACACACACACACGTACACACGCAAGTGCTGGCGAGGATGTGGAGGAAAGGACCCTGTTACACTGTTGGTGGGAGTGTGAACTAGACTAGTCTGGACCCTATGGAAAGAAGCATGCGCGTTCCTGAAAAGACTGAAAATGGATCTTCCACATGACCTGGCAATTCCGCTCCTAGGGATCTACCCAAAGAGCACAAATGAGGGGCCTTCCTGGTGGTGCAAGGGGTATATAGTCTCAGCACTATGAAGCTCTCTGCAGCCACTCTGTCCTGAATGCAATCCCTGGCCAAGGAGCTAGCCACATGGTGCAGCAGACCCTCCTGCCTCCCCGCTGCTCCCCTCAGCAGTGGATTTCAGTCAGTGGACCTGTTCTGCCGCCCACTCTGTCTCTGATGGATCCTCTCACCATCCACCTACCCCCCACCAAGCCCTGTGCGTACACACACACACCCCGCTCTGCCCTGCATCCCAGTTCTTCTGTGCATATATAAATATTTAAAAGATATCTTGATTCATGAAAATGTCCCCTGGCTCTTGATTTACAGGAAGAAATGATTGGAAACCATCTCAATGAAAACCCCAGGAAACAATCCACTCTACCTCTCAGACTTATCAAATGTGACCATGTTCAGTCAAGAAAGTGGAATACAAAATTCTCGAGATAGTGTTATTCCAGCATGGATAGAAAACAGGAATGAACTCACCTAGTGTGCAGTGGACAAGAATGGACTTGGCGTCCAGTGGAACACGATACAGCAGTGACAGCAGCAGGCTCTAGCTGAAGCCAATCCTGGAGATCATCTTGCCCACATCTTGTTCAAAGAGTCTCCATAGAAAATGAATCGAAGAGGACTGATTAATATTTCACATACCAGACAAAATAAAAATCATGTTTTCATGCTACATTTCCAAATACACCATTATGTGAGACCGTGTCGTGAACAGCATGGGGAATCGTTATTTTTGTTAAGATTTATTTATTTATTTATTTACACAAGCACTGACTGGGTACAATCAGAAGCGCGGGAGGGTGAAAGAATTCACCAGCACCAGGGTGGGGAACAGAACAAGCAGACTGACGAAATACACTGCTGATGGGTCAGCGGGCGACAGGTCTGTCGTGCCATGTGGGACCCTCGCCGGGGGCCGGGGATCGAACTAGCTCTGGAGAGGCTGCGTGGGCAGCTTTGCAGCCCAGGGCTCAACCGCTGCTCCACCAGGGGAGGCCCAGGAATCGTTATTGTAAAGGTCACCTATTGGTGGGAACTCAGAGAGGAAGATGATGACATGTGATGGTATGTTTCTTCCCCAGTTCATGGGAGTTCATGTTGTGATTCTGTGATTCTCTTCATGGATACGAACTGTGCTTATACACAGGTGTTCTAGGTCACAATTCAAAATAATGGAAATCACCCGAAAGAGAGTCAGCTAACTCAGAAAAGTGTTTCTCTGTGGATGAAAGATCATCATTGGCCATAGTTCATTTTATTTTCATCTACGGTTGAAATTTCCTAGAATGTACACAGCTCTCTCTGAGGATCAGAACCAGTTGACCCTAGCTCATGAAAACTCACTGCTGCACTTATATCCCCGATCCTTGGCAGGGGTAAAGGAACCAGTCAAATTATTTTCAAAGTGAATCATTCTATTGTGGTCATAGAAAAACTACTTTAAGGGTGATACTATGGCCTTCCTGCCAGTCAGGCAGGCTTGGGCAGAGCAGACTCACCTGGAGTGAATGTCAAGGTCACCTCATTGATATTACTGAGGCAGTTTGGGTTTCTGGCCCGAACCTAGGCTCCTGATCATTCATAAATCCAAACAAACACATTTTGCCTTTTTTTTTATTATTAAATTTAGAAATATATTCTGCTTAACTCAAAGCTTTATCTTGCTTTCATTAAAAAAGAGAGACAACAGGACACTCATTGACAGTCCAGAGCCTTCGCGCTTTCCAATACAAGAGTTCTGAAAGCTGTACATACCTATGGAAGGAAAAAGGCCAAATGACAAATGGAGCCATGACATTTCAGCAAACTAGATTTGAAATAACTGAAGACCTCCCCCCTCCCCCCGCTGCCTAGTTCATTGACTTTACCAAAAAACAAACCACAAAAAAATAGGACAATGTAGAATGAAATTCCTGTGTTCCAAATCAACTCGTCCCACATTTATAGCCATCCCCAGGGTCCCGCCAATGGCATCCTGTCATTTTCTGTCTCCTCCTAAAGCTCAGATCCTGATGATGGTAGTGGAGATTCCATGGTCAACAAGAAAGATGGTGGCAGCAACAAAAAGCATTCCACTTTTGTGGAATTACAGCCGTGCACTGACCCGGGCAGGCTTGCCATCCCTACGAAGGCAGAAGCATCATCAATTATTTGGGTGCTAAGACTCCAAAGAAGTAAAGAGGAAAGAAAAACACCTCTAGGAATAACAGAGCCAGGTCAAGGGGCCGTAAACATGCCAACATTAGGGTTCTCCACCACAGAGTAGGAGTAACATCTCTATAGTGTCATTAATGATCACTGGCTTCAGTCACCTCCAGCAGGTGCTCAGTAAATGCAATTTCTTTCTCCTTCCTCGAGGAGCCCAACTTCTCATAAAAGGGGACTGCAAGGTGCCGGAGTCCAGCTCCAACCGGGGCAGGGTCCCCTAAGGACAAGATGGCGCTGGCGAAATGGAGGGATGAGGGGAAGAGGGAATGAGGAGACAGACACTCGGTTGAGGTGCAAGTATGTCCTGATGAGGGTCTCAGGGGTCTTTATTTCTACAATACAAGCAAGCCCTGGGAGGACATAAGCATATGCATTAAAGCAGAAAGGTAACAATCATCAGGTCTTTCTCAAGGACAGCCAGGGGTCTATTTGAGCTCCTGCAGAGGTCATGACATTTATCATTCTTTGTAGTGAAGAAGGCACAAGTGCTAAACAAAGTGTCCTTAGAATAGTCATTTATCTTGAACAACCAAACAATCATCTTATTAATATCAAAGCTAGCAAAACAAAAACTTATGTGACTGACAACATCTCTATATTTACCACTGTGAACGATTAACTAAGGGCTCCGGGGATCAAAGGATGGAAGTTATGGGGGGGAGGGAAAGGAAAACAAAGGGATTTTTTTCTAACTAACCTATAAACTTAAGATTAACATGTAACCATAGGATCAAAGCAAAAACAGAAGGCTTTCATATAGAAATCATCATCTAATATTGTTTTAATAAACTATTGATTCAATATTAAGGAACCAAGGGCCTGGAGGACGTCAATGCCGGGCAAGCTGCACTGACTTTTCCCTAAACCCAAGCTCTCAATTAAGGGAGGAATTCTCCTAATCTATTAAAGAGTTTTTCCACCTATTACTCCCATACTTATCTCGTCAGCCTAGTTTCCATACCTAACTAAGATCAAGGGAAAACTCCTTTCTCTATAAGATTGCTGACTGTTGCTTCAAAGAACTATAAATATTTTACCAGGGATGATTATAGCTTTTGGTTCCCAGAACAGCTAATCCGTGACATATCAGTTGTTGTAACATTGATTATTTCCAAATGCACTCTTTGTGCTACCATGGTTATCAGCTCAGTCAGTCACAACATTGTTGTTGGCTTATTCTTGAACGCATACTTTAACAATTGCCATGACAATGGTCACATCCAGGGGAATCAGTCATAAACAAACGGGTAGGATCCAGCAGGAGCCAGCTATGGAGCCTCCTGACTTTTCTGGAATTTCCCCCATACCCGGACCTTGTCAGACGGCATGAGCAGCAGGGCCAGCGTCAGCCAGGAAGGAGGTAACACAAGTTTGACACACTACAACGGTTAAGAGGCAAAGTGGATTATCCACAAACTGCCCAGTTCCCAGGTGAATGAGTCACTGTGGCTGATGCAGCCCCTGAGGTAGGAATCTTCTTGGCACCCGGTGTCATAGAGAAAGATCTCCAGAGCTCAGGAAAGGGCGCTTCCCGTGTCTCCGATGACCCCCCATGAAGAACTTGGCACACCCCGTTGGTGACAGGGCCCGGCTGCACCCGCTGTTTCTCGGGTGGGCCCTTCAGTGACGCAGAGAGGGCCCTGCTCGCACTGCACGAGTCGGCTGATAACGCATGTTAGAAAACCAGAGACGAGCACCCAGGGTGCGGCGGCCGCGTGGCTCCTGGTCACTCGCGGCTCAGGAGAGCCTGGATTCTACTCCAGGGAGAGTCTCAAGGTGCCTCCTGAGGCAGTTTCCAGGTGTGAAAGCCCCTTCCAGGCTCTGAACGGCCACATCGGCTGCCCGGCAGCACGAGGGCTCAGACATGGGCCCGGCCGGGGCAGCGCCCCAGACCCCGCGAGGAACGCGGAGCCCCGGCCCTCGCTGCCCGCTGGGCACAGCTGCACCCGGGACACTGGACGCGGCTCGGCCTCCGCCTGCTGGACCCGGGGCGGGCGGGGGGGGGGGCCCGGGAGAGTGGAAAAGCCGTTCCCCGAGCTGCACTGAGACCCGCGGGGATAGAAACGCGCAGCCCGCGGGGGGGGGGGGGGAGGCCCAGGACCCGCCGGGGCGCCCTCGCGGGTCGCAGTCGGGAGCAAACGCCTCGGGAAGCGGCGGGGCCAGCGCAGGAGGGACCCGGACCCCTGTGTCCTGCAGGCCCCACAAGGCACCCCAAAGCCCAGTTCTCCACATGCAGCCCGCGCCGGGGCCGCCCCGAGCCCTCGTGCTTCCCTCCCTGGCCTCACCTGTCCGCTCCCCGCCGCCGGCTGCCCAGGACAAGCGCAGAGGCGCCCCCGCGGGGATCCTGGAGGACCAGGCTCACCTGAGCTGGGGGCCGGGCCCGAAGGACCAGGCTCACTCCAGCCGGAACCTCACCGCAAGTTGAGGGCCAGCGGGGCCAGGGGCCCGGCCTGGGAGAGCGCGCACGCGCGGTGGCGGCGCAGGTGCGGCAGGTGCTCGGGCGGGGCGCGCAGGGGCTCCCGGAGGCCACGCCCACCCGGCCGCAGGCGGGGGCGGGACAGTTCGCGAATAAACGGTGAGGTGTGGACAGAGGCCTCCCCCTCCCCCAACACTGTGCCCCCGCGTTGTCCGCCGGGCAGGAACACGGCAGGCCAGGCTGCTGGCATTTCTGGGAAAGATTTGTTTTTTAATCATTCTTAAAAATCCCCTCACCCGAAGCTGACATCAAAGCACGACGAGAGGCCTCCCTGGGGGCGCAGGGGTGAAGCACCGCGCTGTGAAGCCACCCGCAGCCCCCGCAGCACGAGTTCGAGCCCCAGCCAGGAAAGTGACCCACAGGGCCCCCAAGACCTCTCCTGTCTCCCCACTGCACCCCTCAGCAGCCGATGTCAGTCAGTGCACCTGTTCTGCTCCCCGCTCTGTCTCTGGTGAATCCTGTCACCCCCTCATCTCTGGCCTGTCCCCCAGCTCTAGTATTCATAAGTAAATAAAACTGGAAAAAAAATAAAACAAAGCAGGACTAAAACTGAGCTGAGCACGACCTGCACTGTCTTGGGGTCACGATGGAGAGGAGGAGCCAGGGACGGTGCGGGGGCTCCTGATCCCCAGCTCCCCCCACGCGGGCAGCGGCTGCCGTCCCGACCCGGTGCCCCCCAGGCCAGGGCCTCTCTGCCCGCCCGCCCTCCGCAGAGGCCGCGACCCGCAAGGCCCCGCCCGGCCCGTGACCCTGAGATGCCAGGGGGGCTCCAAGCAGAGCAGGGGCGCTTGCACCCCTCCCGGCCCCCCAGGATCTCCAGCTGCTGCACCCCCAGGACTCCCCGAACCCTCTTAGCACCCCCTGGCCCTGGCCACACTCGCCGCGGGGGAGAGGGACACCTGCACCCTCCGCTCACCCTCCCACCCCCAGGGGCAGATTGTACCCCGAGGACGCCCTGGGTGGAGGGGCCAGGTCACTGTCAGGGAGGACACCCCCTCCAGCCAGAGGCAGCCGGTGACCGCGCCCCCTGCCAGAAAATGCAAATAGCCCCCCTTCCTCCCCGAGACTCCCACAACCCCTGGGCCTGACGGGGAAAAGCCCGCACCTGCCCCCGGCAGAGCTGACAAGCCCCGGGCACAGCCTCAGGTGAGCCAGGCCCCGCCCACCCGGCTGCTTAGGCGCAAAAGCGAAAACTTTCAGAACCGTCGGTAGGGGGCGCCAGAAACCCCCTGGACCCTTCACACCGCCCCCCCACCCCGCCGCCCCGCACCCTCTACCCCCATTCCCGGTACCTTATTTCCAGCGGGGTTGCTCTGGTTCTTCCTCTTCGCTCCTTGCTCTACCGCAGCCTTTATGTTCTCAGCCCCCCAGGTCAGGTGTGCCGTGTAAGCCGGCCTCGCCTTCCCCCAGGTGCCCACCCCTTCCCCCAGGTGTCCCCCTTCCCCCAGGTGTCCCCCTTCCCCCAGGTGTCCCCCTTCCCCCACGTGCCCACCCCTGCCCCCACGTGCCCACCCCTGCCCCCACGTGCCCACCCCTGCCCCCACGTGCCCACCCCCAGGCGGCCGACGCAAAGCCCACACTCCCAAAGGCCCCCAGTTTTCCCAGCTGCAGGTTGCCACAAAGGTGTTCGGTGCAAACCCCGAAAGGAAGCAATCTTCCCTGACCCTCCCCCACCCGCCATTTGCTGTCTCCGGACAGTCCCCCCTGGTTTCTCTTGGCCTCGGCACCCCGCGGCCGTGGCCCGCACAGCTGAGCGCGCTCCGAGCACGACCTCACGACAGACGCCGCGGAGACCCGCTCCTTCCAGACAGGCGCCCCGAGGGCGGAACGAGGAGCCCGTGTGCAGGACCCCATGGTCGCTCCCGACTGCCCCCCACAGCCCCACTCCGTCTGGGCGGCCTCCGCGGTCCCGTGCGGGGGCGTCGGGCTCAGCGCCAGCCACACCCCACCCCCACCCCCTGCTGTGCGCGCACTGAGGTCTGAGACGCTCAGCTCTTGGGGGGACCGCCCGGCCCGGGGTACTCACTGCCGTCCCCGCCGCTCCAGGTCTCCTCACCGCCGCTGCCGGCGGCCCCTGCGCTCAGGCAGTTCCTATGCACGCTCCACCCCCAGGACCTCTGGACGGCCCCCCACACCCCGCCCCTCCCAGGGTGAACCACTGCTCAGTCGGGGCGCACCATGCCGTCCCATGAGGGGCGTGGGGGCTCGGGGGCCTCTCCCGGCTGCGGTCTCAGCACAAGCCACACCCCACGACCGCCTGAGGTCTGAGACCCTCAGCTCTTGGGGGGACCCGCCCAGCCCCAGGGGTACTCACTGCCGTCCCCGCCGCACCCGGCGGCCCCTGCGCTCGGGTCAGCCTTTTGCCGGTGGGCACGGCCGGGCCAGGGAGACCAGCGACCCGCGGGCCGCTCCGGGCCCCTCCCCGCCGAGGGCTCCCCCACGGGCCTCGTCCCCACCCGCCCCCTGAGGCTCCCCCGCCCTCGAAGCTGACGGGCTCGCCCTCAGGTGCGGTGAGGAGGCTCCGCTGCTCCGGGAGCGTCCGCAGCTGCGGCCCGCACGTTCGGGGCGCCCGCCCTCGGCGCCCGCTTTCGGCGCGTCTGGGCGGCTTTTTGAGACTCGCGCCTGCTGCGGAGAACCGCCCCCCCCCCCGCCGCTTGGGGCACCCCGACTCTCCTCTCCGGGGGCACAGAGGATCCCCTCGCTCCCCCCGCCCCGTCCCCAGCCTCTGGCGTGGCCGTGAGCCCCCGCCGGCCCGTGGGGGCGCGCCAGGCAGAGGGTGGGGCGTCGAGCTCCTGCTCCCCGGCGGCGTCTGCGGCTCGGGGTCCCGTCGAGTCTCCGCCGGCAGCTCCACCTCACCCCACCCCTAGGTCTCCTCCAGCAGCTCCCGGGCCGCGTCGGCTTTCTGGGGTCTGGGGCGCCTCCAGGGTCGTCCCCACCCACGGGCAGAGCTTGGGGGACGCTCACCCCAGACCTGCTCTGAGTGGGGCTAAGCCCGTCGGTGGCCCCCGCCGTGCGCACCGGCCCCCGCGGCGCCGGGTCGGGGCGGCAGAGAGGAGCCGCGCCCCCACCCCGCCCCACTCCCGCCCCAGGACTCCGGGGGCCGCGTTCCCGTGGGCGCCGGATCCTGCCGCCCCGGCCGGCTCCGGAGGGCTCCGGGCACACGGGCAGGGGTCCGGGGGCTCCCGGGGCTGGCGCGGGCCTCTCGCGTTCTCCCCGACATCGAGCTGGGCGCCCGGGCAGGGCGGGCAGAGGCCCGGGGGAGGCTCCCGGCGCCTGCGAACCCAGACTCTCCGCGCTCTCGGGCGGGCGCTGCGCGGGCGGGCGGGGACTGGGGGCGGGGGATGCGGGGCTGAGGTGGGGGGCTGAAGGGCGGGCGGGCGGACCTCCCAGCGCCCGGGGGATCTGGACGCTCACGGGGCTCTCTCCGCTGTTCCCGCGGGGTCGCGGCCGCTCTCGCCGCGGCTCTCGCTGGGGGCCGGAGCCCGCCCCGCCGCCGAGACGCCGCCTTATATGCTCCGCCCCGGCGCCCAGGTGCGCGCCCTCGCCCGCCCCGCGCCTCCCGCCGCCAGGCCCAGGTGATGCCGCAGGGGCCCTGGCGCCCGAGCCGGAGCGGCTGCCTCTCCCCCACAGACCCCCCCGCTCTGGCCCTGAGCCCCCCACGGTGCGCGCCCCGGATCTGCTCCGGGCTTCGCTCCACCAAGGATCACAGTGTCTTGTGTGTTTCAGGAGAGACCTTGGAAAAGTCACTAGTGCTCCGCTCCGGTGGCTGCAAACGCGGGAGATTTCCCAGCAGCTTAGGGGCTCCCCATGTCACTCTCGGAACCCCCCGCAGCGTAGTGAACCTCATGCGCTGCGCTCCGCGTGTTCTCATCACAGGCCTCCATTTTGCATTAAACCAAAATATTCCAGGGACCCAGCACATCGCCCCCCAAAATAAATCATCTCGGTTCCCATGTGGAATCCAATCTCCCGGCCCATTTCAACCCCCAACACCTGCTCCACTGGGGAGAGCATCTTCTTCCATCTCATCGGCTTCTCTCTTTGGCAGCTGTTCCTGACCCAGCTCCGCCTTTTCACAACCATGATGGGTTTAGTGTGTGCCCCTGACGGAGGACAAGAATAGAAAGACTGGAAAGGAGGAGCCCCAAGACTAAAACCTGACTCCCACAGGAGGTGGGGAGTGAGGGCAGTAACATGACCATTAACCCAGCTGGAGAGGTCGGGCCCTTAGGCACCAGCCCTTAGCACAAGGCAGGAGGCCCAAGCAGGATCAGATGCTCTAGAGAGTGGAGCACAGGCCTGAGGAGAAAGATAGGGAGATTGGGCCTCCCTGGAATCTCTGGTCCCTTCCTAGTTTTGCCTGTTACCCAACATCAGCCACAAGCAGCCACTCCACGGAGGAGTGAGCCCCCAAGGAGGAAAGGACTGTATCAGGGCAGTCTCTGCACAGGCTCGGAGCAGCGCTCCCACCGCCTACCTGTGCCTATGCAGGAGCCTCTTCACCAGCTCTCTCCCTCTGCAGGGCAGCAGCCTCCTGCCTGCCGGTGACCTGTACCAGGCTGGGACTTCTCACTGACTTCCCTCAGTGGAGGCCGCTCTCCTCAAGGCTTCCCGCCTGTAACCGTGCAGGCTTCTCTCAGCAAGCCTGTCCCTGTCCCTTTCCCTAATAAACCTGCTCTTTAAATATGACTAACGGCTCTGTCTCCTGGAGAAACTCGCCGGGAACTTGCCGCGTGCCACTGAAACGGGAGCTCTGGTGACACCTTCCCCAGAGTGACCCCAAGGACCCCACACTCCAAAAACCCCATCCTATGGCACCCAATGTTTGGTTTTTCACAGCATCAGTGAGATTTCTCCAGTTGTCTATCTTCATGCTATTGCAGCCTCCTTTTCTGGGAGGAGTTGTTCAGCGACTGTTTGGCGTCCTACATGGACTGAGGGGCCCAGGCCAAGGCTACTCTTTGATCTTAAATGGCCAAACCTCACATGAAATTGTAAGCAGATCCCAGAGCAAGTACAGTGGGCAGAGGAGCTCAGCCAGGCCCCACCCCAGCACCCCAGCCTCGAGACCCAGGAAAGTGGGCACCCCTGGGACACAGCCCCTTGGCCTCTATGTGCCAGTTAACAGCCCTGCAGGCCATCACAGTTGAAGAAACTGGGGCTCAGGATGCTGCTGAGCTGCTTGAAGACCCCTCTGAGCTGTGGAGTGGGACTGAGACCCAGGCAGAGTAGAAGCCTGGCCCCCACGGCCTGCCCTGCATGGGAGGAGACTCCAGGCCGAGCTTGCAGTGTGGGTTGGAACCCAGATTGTGTGAAGCCAGAGTTGGTGATTTTTCTGGTGCACCAACTGTGATAGCGAGAGCAGGTGCTGGCAACCTCAGCCCCTCACATCAGATCTGCCCACTCCCTGTTTCTGTGCAGCTGTGAACTTTGTAAGAATGGCTTTTACACTTTTTTTTAAAGATTTATTTATTTATACAAGACCTGGGGTACAGACCAGATGTACAGGAGGGTGAGAGGATTCACCAGAGACAGAGCGGGCATCAGAACAGGCAGACTGACTGAAATACACTGCTGAGGGGAGCAGCGGGCGAGGCAGGAGAGGTCTGCCGCACCATGTGGGAATCTCCCTGGCTGGCCAGGAATTGAACTGGTGCTGCAGAGGCCACAAACAGCTTCACAGCGCGGCTCTCAACCTGCTACACCACCGGGGAGGCCTGTTTTTACACTTTTTAATGCTTGGGGGAAATCAAAAGAATTTGTGGCAAGTGAAAATGATACGAAATTTACCCTTTGGTAAGTGATGGCTTATAGAAATGCAGCCACACCTGGGCGTTTGTCTATCACCTGTGCATTTGCGTATCATGTATGCCTGCTTTCCTGCTGCACCTGCAGACATGAGCAGTTACAGCAGAGATGGCCTGGCCTGGGAAGCCTGACATGTTCACTCTCTGGCTCTTTCCAAAAGGTGTGCCCACCCCTTCTAGAGGACATCTGACCAACAGGCAGAGGCCAAGGCCCAGGTGAGGAAGGCGAGCTGCTGGAGTAAACACCATGCTGTCAGCGCCACGCGGGCTCAGAGGCCGTGCAGCCCTCCTCCTGCTCCCCTGGCTTCCTGCCACGAGCTGCCGCTCAGTTGCTCCTTAAATTCGCTGGTGTTGGCTCTAATGGCTGCTCTTCTCCTGTGCCCACTCCTCAGTGCCAGGCATAGTCAAAGGATGTCAGTGTAGCTGACAATGAATGGGGGTGGGGGTGACTCCACTCATGCATTTGGACAGAAAGATTGTCCCGGAGCTGGCCAAGACCAGCAGGGCGCCACTCCGTCCATCCCCCAGACTGTCCACAGCCCGAGGCCCAGCTCCCAGTGCTGTCTTCCGGGCGGCTGCTGAAGGCCTCTGCCCTGAGGCATACTTCCCCATGACCCCCAGAATCACATCCCACCCTCCGAGCCTCAGATGCCATGTCCCTGGTGGTGGTGAGGAGGCCATCCTTCTGAGTCCCGAATTAATGGACAGCGCTGCCGGCTGTGATGGTAATCCTGACCCCGTGAGGAACCAGCCCCTTGCTCCAGGGCAGTGGGGCTTGGCTGGGGTCTTCCCAGATTCCTCTTCTAACCAGGAAAACCACTGGATGGGAGCCAATGCCTTAGTCAAACTCATCAAACCAAAGAAAGAGGGGTCCACAGACAGCCCCCCCTGGCAGCTGGAGGCCACAGACCCAGTCTCCCCACCTGCTCGACCTCTCTGATCTCATCCAGAGAACCCTGAGACCCCATCGAGCTCAAACAGTGCGAAAGAGCGGGACGCCCAGAGCGGGACGCCCACAACAGGCCAGTGGGGAAAGGTAGGTGAGGCCGGCCCCCTGCGTGGGGTCAGACAGAGGCTGAAGGTGATCTCAAGGACTCACCCTGGGGGCAGAGCCAGGGGGGTGGGGGTGCACACACAAGGGCAGGTGTGTCAGGGGGAGTGCAGGGCACTCTACCCCACAAAGACACACACACACAGGTCACTGGAAGAAAAATAAAGACCCACAGAGACACACAAAAACATGATGGGCTGGTTATTTTTAAAGATTTATTTATTTATGCATACAAGAGCTGAAGTACAGGCCAGAGGTGTGGGGGTGGGGTGAGAGGATTCACTAGAGACAGAGTGGGGAGCAGAACAGGCACAATGACTGAAATATACTGCTGAGGGGAGCAGCAGGGAGACAGGAGAGGTCTGCTGCGCCATGTGGGTCAGCTCCCTGGCTGGGGATGGAACTCATGCTGCAGTGGCTGCAGATAGCTTCATAGTGCTGAGACTTAACCCCTTGCGCCATGAGGGAGGCACGAGGGGCTGATTTTTGACAAAGGTGTAAAGTGCAATTCAGGAAGGAGTCTTTTCAACAAACAGTCCATGAGCAAAATATGCGCCTGCACCAAAGTCTCACACCTGGAATAAAAATGTACTGAAAATGGCTCATGAACCTAAAAGTAAAGCAAACTGTAAATATTTTAGAAGAAAACAGTCAGGATCTACAGTTAGAGAACTTAGACTTGACACCAAAAGCACAATCCATGAAAGTAATCATTAACATTGAATTTCACAAAATTTGAACTAGCTCTAGCAGTCAGGCAAGAATTCCATCACTTCCCACCGTCCTGTTCTATTGGGTCCTCAGGAGACTGGGTGACACCCACCCATACTGGGGAGGGCCATTTGCTTTACTGTGGGTTCCAGTTCAAATGCACATCTCTTCCAGAAACACCCTCACAAACACACCCAGAGTTTGACCAGCTGTCTGGGTGTCCTATGGCCCAGTCCAGCTGCCACATAAAATTAGCCATCACAGTAACTAAGTCCGAATAGCATTAGTGTGGGAATAAACGAACAAGCAATGGAGCTAAATTACCCCAAACCAAACCCACACCTAGATGGAAACCTGACAAAGTGGATGTGGCAGTACTACGAGAAAGAGCTGGACTGCTGAGCACAGGAGCTGTGATAATTGATTATTAATGTGGGAAAGTGAAATTACTTTCTAACCACCTACCAAAAGAGCTGCAAAATGGTCAAAATATGCAAAAAAAAGAGTTTTTGGATACTTATTTTGCACATGGGAAGATTCTAACAAGAGTGATAAAGTACAGTTGGGCAAGTTGCACACTGTGCAATCAGTCCTCAGAGGCACCATTCACAGTCCAGTCTGTTGTTAGGCCTGTGGAGTTCACTCTTGTTAAAACACGGCGTCCCTGATACAGGATCTCATTTATGCTCCAGGTTCCGTTTTCTTCATTGTTCTTTTCTGTTTTTTCAAAAAGATTTATTTATTTGTGTATACAAGAGCTGGGGTACAGGCCAGAGGGGGTGGGGTGGGGTGGGGTGAGAGGATTCACCAGAGACAGAGTGGGGAACAGAACAGGCAGATTGTCCAAAGCACACTGCTGAGGGGAGCAGTGGGGAGACAGGGGAGGTCTGCTGCGCCATGTGGGCTGCTCCCTGGCCGGGGATCGAACTGGTGCTGCAGAGGCTGCCTGCGCACAGCCTCATAGGTTGCATCTTAACCCCTTGCGCCACCAGGAAGGCCTCGTTTTCTTCATTTTTCAAATGAGGAAACCTAGGCTCAAAAAGACATGAACTCGGCCAGGTCACACAGCAGAGCGGAGCCAGGATTCACACCTCCTGCCCCCGGCCGGTCCTAGCAGACCAGACTCTGCACGCGGAGTTGGTGAGGAAAGCGGGGTCGCCCTGGTCCTCAGGCCCGCGTGCAGTTCCCGCCAGTCCCAGGACAGGCCTGCTCACCCCCCTGCAGGGCTGGAGGGCGCACGGAACCGGGGAGGCCCGGGGCCCGGGACCGTCGGTCCAGGCGGGGTCCCCCGGGACCAGCTGCGCCACCCCGCGCCTCCTCTCCCGGCACGCCCACGCAGGCCGGCTAGCGGGCGCTCTGGGGTTCCGCCGGCCCCGCCCCCGGCTTGGGCGTGGTCACGCGGTCACGTGGCGGGGCGCCCCGATTCCCCCCAGCCCCGCCCCGCCCCCACCCCGCCGCCCCCGCACTGGCGCCCGCCGCCCCCCGCTCCGGAGCCGACCGCGCCGCCGGCTGAGGGCGCCTGGGGTCGGGTCGCGCCTCCGAGCTTCGGCTGCTGAGGTCGGCGCGCCACCCGCGCGGGGCTCGGGGCGCCGGCTCGCTGCGCGGAGGGTCCCCGCCTGTAGCGGCGGCTGCACCGGCGGCAGCCAGCGCCTGAGCGCCCCGAAGCAGCAGCACCATGGATCTGTCCTTCATGGCCGCGCAGGTAACGGGGCGTCTTCGCGGTGCGCCCAGGGCCGCCAAGTTCGGAGAGGGGTCGGGGCCACGGTCTCGCCCCCCGCCCCGGGCTGGACCTGAGGGCGGGGCGGCCAGGGCTGCGCTCTCCGGGCGCCGGCGCCCCGTCCTTTCCCGGAGCGGGGTCCCACCTGGTGCGCCCCGGGGCGCCGGGCGCCGCTGCGGGGGTGGGGCGGGCCGTGCGCCCCGAGCGCGGGGAGGTCCGGCCGCGGACCCCTCCTCGCGAGTAGGGGGGGCCCGGTGCGTCTCCCCGCCCTGCCCATCCCCCACCTGCCTCCCCGCGCTGGTGTCGGGGAACCCTCCGGCGGGCGCCCGGGATGCGGGAGACCTCGGGCCGCCGGCGACCTGGCTGTTCCCGGCTCTGTGCCTTCGCGAGGCGCCAGGGAATGCCGCGGGCGCCCCCATTTCACTTTTCTCCCTTCTGCCTGGTGAGCACAGCCCCTGGCGCCCCGGGGAGCCCGGGAGATGCGCCCCGAGCCCGCCCGGACCTGGCGCGCGGCGCTGCCCTCATCCTTGTTTGCTTTGTGCTGAGCCTGGAGCCCCCCGAGCCTGCCGGGCGCGCCGGTACCTCCTCCCCGGACTCGGCGGGCTCCCAGCTCTGCCCTCTGCTGCTGGGGACACCCTGGAGTCTCTGGGAGGGTTGGGCGCGCTCCGCCTTCACTGGCCGAGCCAGAACAAAGGCGCGCGCTGGCCTCCTCCGGGGGTCGGTGGCCTCTCCGGCCGGGGGACCCGCATGACCCCGGCCTGCGGGGGTGGGGGGCGCGTGCGGGGCGCGTGGGGTCTGGAGAGTCGGTGCCGTGTGCGGCTGGTCCTGCGGGAGCCCCGCGCCGGGAGGCCCCTCTCTGCCCCGGGGTGTGGCAGGTGCCCCACTTGCTGCTGTTTTTCGTGTTTTTTTTTTCCCTCTCCGAGGAAATAGAGTTAGAGGGACGCTCCGCTTCCTTCCCTCCCCAGCTTCACTGTGGTGGGAGCCTGCTTAGACAGTAACAGCGGAATTCAGGCTGTGTAGACAGATTTCCCAAATGCAGGCGCAAACAAGATGCAGAATCCCAAGTTTACTCCACAGAACCAGGTCCCACCGCTGGCAGCCTCTTAGCAAGATTTCCAGAAAGTTAATTGCTCTTGTGGCTCGCTCTCTCTTTTTTCCCCTAATTTCCGTCTCTTGTTCCTAAATCCTTTTGTAAATAACGTCCTGTGGAAATCATTTTAGATCGTGGTGACCTTAGCTACGTAAATGACGAGGCTTTGTCAGATTTGTTTCTAGACCAGAGGAGCTCATACAAGGTCTGTCTCTGCCCTTCCCTCTGGATCCCACCGGACAGCTTGTGTTTCCATGGTTACAAGATAAATTGATCACTACCCACCCCTAGGCTGGCTAGAGCATCATATGTTGCTATGGTAACTTGACAAAATAAACGTAGAGGTTTTTTTCCAGCATTCGTAGGCAGAGCCTGCAGAGATTGGATTTGTCCTTTTCTTATTTTGTTTACTATTCTTGTTTCATGTGGTCAGTTTATTCCTGTCAACAGATGATTGGGCACTGATTACACATTCAGCGCTGAGCTGGTCACCAGGAACAGGAACAAGAAGTGCCAGCAAATGTGTAGACCTGAGGTTTGTTGGGGGCCAGGGGCGGGGCAAGTGCACACATTCTTACGCAAATCCTTCAAATCTGTGATGCAGGCCCTGTACCCCCATTTCACAGATCAGGAGACCAACGTCCCAGATTGAATACTTCGCCCAGGACACACCATTGGTCAGGAGAAGTGGGTTTCACATCTGGGTCTCAGTATCTGCACAGGTGCTGGGTTTCTGCCTCATTACTTCATCTTGAGAAAGACACTACCTAAAGGGCAGGGGAGGCATCTTTAAAACTGACTCACCTCTTCTGCGCCACCCCAGAAGTGCTCTTCCTGTGGTGCGTTGTGCTGGGAGGGAGTGCTTTCTGGTGTTGCTCTGCTGCCCTCACCCACCCCAGCCAGGAGGGCAGGATGTTTACCCTTATCTGCTCATTAATCAGGGCCTGGCCGCAGTGAGTGCTCCCCACACATTTGAGTAGGGGCTTGGTGCCTAGCCTGGACTTGCTATCGGGGTGCACCTAGAGAGCACAGAAGCCAATGACTAGGTAGGATACCCAGTTTTGAGAAAACAAAGGTTTTGTAGCAAATCAGTTGGCAAAGATAGCAGGAGAAAAATTCAAATCTGTCTCCCCAGTTAAGAGGCATAAAGTTCTGTGGGGTTTGGCGACTGAGGTTAAGAAAGGAATTCAGGGCCTCCCCTGGTGGTGCAGGCTGTTGAGTGCTGTGCTGTGAAGCTGTCCGCAGCCTCTGTAGCGCTGCCGGTTCAATCCCCGCCAGCAGGCAGGGGTCCCACATGGCGCGACCTCTCCTGTCTCGCCCACTGCTCCCCTCAGCAGTGTATTTCATCAGTCTGCCTGTTCTGTTCCCCACTCTGTCTCTGGTGAATCCTCTCACCCTCCCGCACATCTGGCCTGTACCCCAATTCTTGTATAAATAAATAAATAAATTCTTTAAAAAAAAAAAAAGAACAAAGGAATTCAATTTTATTGAGTAAGGAGTGAGCTGAGGGAGAGGAAATTTGAGTTGACTGGAGTTCATTGGCTAATTCCAGGGCAGCTCACACATGGGAAACACAGACTGGCTTTGCTTCAGATCACTGGAGCTTTGAATTTCTGTTGGTGGCCCCTCTCCTTTGGGTTGCCCCCCCTTTACACTTGGGTCTTCCAGTTCCAACCTGCCTGGAGCTCAGCTCAAGGTTAGTTGTTTCTGCGCATGCTCCAATTGTGTGATTTTTTGATAAGGCCTGTGCTTTGATCTGTGAAAGCACAACTCAAAGGGAAAATTAAGTTTTTTTCCCCCTCTTGTGCCCTAAGGTCTGAGAGCAAGTTAACCTCAGTTTTACAGTGGCCACGGTGCATGTGAGCAAGTCACTGCCCCACACACCAGCAATGGGCAGATAGAAACATCGGTGCCTCCACCCACTTGTTCCCGCTCCATGTGAGACGCTGGGACAGGGGTGCTGGGGAATAAAGTTGAGCGGGATATAGACTTTCTTACTGGGGCTTACCAAGTATTAGGGAAGTAATGGGACAGTGATTCCCAGCGGGGGAAGGGATCAAGTGCTGGGCCTGGCACAGCCTGCCATCTAGTAGGTCTTCCAGAAATAGCTGTTAAATGATCAGATGAGGGTGAGGCAGGGTAGATGTGCCAGAGAAGACAGTAATAGAAGACTGACTTTGAGGTGCCCTCCCTCCTGAACCCCTACCATCACGGGGGCCTGGAGGAGGGGGTTCTGCTGGGTTCGAGCTGCCTTCCCCTGGTGCGCATGTGCATGATAGTCCGAGGGAGGGGAGCCCTGAATACATTCACAGATTCCTTCAGGGAGTCCGAGGGGGTGAGGGTAGGAGAACCTGGGAGCTAAGGCCAGGTTACAGAAGAGTGAGTGTTGGGGTGAGAAGTTCGGACCTGATCAGTAGGCGGTGGGAGTCAGTGCAGGTTAAGGAGCAGGAATACTTCACAGGGGAGCAAGCTTTGTGACTTGGAAACTCCTGCCCAGAGAGGCAGAGCCAGAGGAAGGTGGGGGCTGGGAGTGCTCTCTTCTCAGACTGAGTGAATGAAAATAGCTTGTGACTTCATTTAAAAGTATTTTTAAAAAGAAAAGAGACCAGATTAGGTGACCCCCGCCCCAACTCAAGCCTCATTTGTCTTCTGCCTGTTATGAATTGTGATTTCTGTTTATGCCTTTAAAAGACCGTTTTAGGATATAAGCGATTTTACAAAGATTTCCTTCTCAACAGCTAAGCACTGGACACTCTTGGATGTCAGGAGCAGACATCCATTATCCAACAAATATTCTTTTGCAAATGTGCCATCCCTGGCACTGGGACAGGGCCTGTGATTAAGGGCTTACAGGAGGCTGTGGGCGCTGAAGGTACAAAGGCTCAGCTTGCAGCCCCACCTCACCCTGAGCCCTGGAGGCATGCTGCACCGTACCCCCACCCTGGAAACACTCCAGGCCCTCTCTGCCCAGTCCCTGAATCGCCAGATCATCCGGAGGGTTGAACAGTGGTCTGGGGCATCCTTTTCTCTACGGCTAGAGGCGGCCAGGAGGGCAGGCTGCCCAGGCCCCCAGGGACAGGGAGGAGGGGAGAATCACAGAAACTGTGGACTGATCCTCCAATCCCCCCATCTCTGAAGGTGGCTCCATCCCTCCTTCCCCTCCCTCCTGGCCATGCACACTCACCACTAATCAGGAGGGGGATTCTGATTCCCCTCCCCTTAAATCTGAGCTGGCCTCGGGACTTCCTTGACCAAGGGAATGCAGAGTGAGTGCAGCCTGGGACTTGGATTAAGCCTTTAGGAGCCAGCTGCTTCCTCTAAGCACCCTGGGAACTCTTGTTCTGGGGGAAATCATGTGGAAAGAAGCACGGAGCCCTTGAGTCTGCAGGAAGGGAAGGCTTATTTAAGGAACCTACTGTGTGCTGGGCCAGCATATGGGATGAATAAGAAGGACGAGCAGTTTCTTAATTATCCCATCTACTTCCTCATGGCCTCCTTTTATGGGGTATTGCGGAGTAAAGCTCGTGGGAATTTTTGGTAGTCTCACTGGTTCTACCTTCACTTCTGCCAAGTTAAAACACATCAGCTTTATTCATTTAAAATCAAAAAGTGGCTTCCAAATTCTATGAATTTCCTTTATACCTAAAATATCCATGAGTGCCTGTGCAAACAAGGCATCCACTGGTATTCTGGATTCTCCTACTTTAATCCATATTTTCTCCTCTTAGGCCCTTTGACAAGTCTTATTTACACCTTCCAACTGAACACTTGGTTACCAACATCTGCAGGGAAGCCGGAAATTATCGTTAATTCGCTCCCTGTATCTACCAAAAATTGGGTACACACTTCACAACCACGAATAATCACATTTAACAACACATACACTCAAGTGTCA